GAATTGGAGGCGCAATCAGGGGTGATCAAAGAAATGCGCGCAATCGGGAATCGAGATATCGTCAATAGATAGCGCGCGAAAGCGGCCTCTATATGAACCGCTTTATTACGAAAGGCATCTGCTGTACTTCGTCCTATCTCTGCATCTTGCGTCTAATTATGAGTTACTCCATTTCAAAGGGTTTTTTGATACTGTTTCGCTATCTGTAGGTCATTTGTCGTTTCCCCGTAATCATTCCCGCAGTTCTTGAAGTATCTGTATATGTGTCATTATTTCACACATTTCTAGATTATGCTGTGTTATATTGTTATTAGGAGAGTAGAAGAAATTGCTAAGGCTGCGTTTATACTTCGCGGCAGCGTACGCTAGCGTTTCCAGCGTTCGGCAGCGGCAGTGGCAAGGGAAGGATGGATATCGATCTAGCGTCACCAGCGTACGCTAGCGTAGCGAGGGCAAGGAAAGCATAGGTATCGATCTAGCGTTTTCAGCGTTTCACCAGCGTTTCACTAGCGTTTCGCTAGCGTTTGCAGCGGCGGGGAGTAGAGACTATGGGAGAGTAGGAGAGTACAAAACACATCGATTATGCCTTGTTAATTTGTGGCGTGTGTAGCTGCACCGCATCAGTAGCATTACCGTACTCTAGAATGGTTAGATTGGTGTGTTTTGGCTGTTGGAATTCAAACTTTTTTCCACTTTGTCGCTGTGAAATTTCGTTAATATGTACGTGCTACTAAATTCTATTTTCCCTAGGGACCCTCCATGGTCATTTGCGCCCAAGTTGTCTCTTAATCATTATCACTTTTAATAATTTTATTATTACACTTGTTGTCATTTATTTCCTGTCGAGATTTTTTAATTTGTGTAGTTGTGTCCTGTGTCGTTAATCACTTCTTTCAGATGTGAACTCATACCAATCCGCCAGAGAAGATGTTATTTTATGCCTTAAAGGCGCGAATCCGGTTGGTTACTTCACATTCACACATATTCAAAAAATCACTAACCTGTAGCTCCTCCAAGCACTGAACTAATGTGAAGAAATAACGACCAACCGGATTCGCTCCTTGAGACATGAAACAACCTCTTCTCTGGCAGATCGGTATGAGTTCACATCTGAAAGAAGTGATTAACGACACACTAATTAAAAAAATCTCGAGAGGGAACAAATGACGACATGTATAAAATTAAATTGATTGAAAGTACACAGCTTCGGCGAAAATGAATGGAGGATCCCTAGAGGAAAAGAATTCGGTAGCACGTATATTAACGAAATTTCACAACGACAAAGTTAAAAATTTGAATTCCAACAGCCAAAACACACCATGCGCAATCTAACCCATTTTAGAGTACGGTATTGCCTACTGATGCGGTGCGGCTACACACGCCACAAATTCACAACGCATAATCGATGTGTTTTCTACTCTCCTACTCTCCCATAGTCTCTACTCCCCGCCGCTGCAAACGCTGGTGAAACGCTGAAAACGCTAGATCGATACCTATGCTTTCCTTACCCTCGTTACGCTCGCGCTATCCAGCTGGCTTGTTTGTTTGTCTGTCCGGAAATTCGGCTCTACCAGAAGAACAACTTGGAAAAGGTCAAGGTCAAGGTCGGGATGGGTAGGGCATGTGACATGATGTAAACAGCAACCGTAACCTACGGCAAGCCCCGCCCCCACAGTGAGCGGGGAATGCGTTGAAAGTTAGCGGGTGGAAAAAATTCATAATTCGGCTCCAGAGCAGTCGTGAGATGGGGGAAAGGGTTGCCCCATCAAATGGAGGATGCACATTCGAAATGAGTACTCGGAATGGGCGGTGCCTCCCACAAATGTCGGTATCTCGGTCCCCGAGAGAGTTTAGAGACGGCAAAAAAGTCCATGGCGAAGACAAACATCTGAAGAGAGTCCGTCATATCTGAGGTCCGCCCACAGTGGGAGTGGCGTGACCTCAAACGTAAGCTATTAGTGGAAAAAATCGTAGTTTGGTCCTAGAGCACTACAGACGACGCGAAAAAGTGGATTATGGTCCCAAGTGGTCCACGTTTAGAAGTGCAAGATACACCGTTGTGGGCGGAGCGTGCGCCGAGGTGGGCGGAGCCTGATTTAAAATTCGTAAAACGGTTCCAGAGCACTCCAGACATCCGGGAAAAAGTGTATTAATGTCAGCGATTGGGTCACCGGTTGAGAAATGCGAGGCACATCCGTGTGGGTGGAGCGTGCATGGGGTGGGCATGAGACTGAGAATTTCGTAAAACGCTTTCAGATCACTCCAGACACCGGGAAAAAGTGTACCAATGTCAGCGATTGGTACACCGGTTGAGAAATGCGAGGCACATCCGTTGTGGGCGGAGCGTGCATGGAGTGGGCGGAGTCAGGCTAAAAATGCGTAAAACGCTTTCAGAATACTCCAGACATCCGGAAAAAAGTCAGTTAATGTCAGTGATGGGTCAGAAGTGTGAGGCACATCCGTTGTTGGTGGAGCGTGCATGGGGCGGGCGGAGCCAGACTGAAAAATTCGTAAACCCCCAGAGCACTCCAGACATTGGAAAAAGTGGATTAATGTCAATGATGGGTCACCGGTTGAGAAGTGCGAGGTACATCCGTTGTGGGTAGAGCGTGGTGAGAGCTGGGGTGCCAAACGAAAAACTCCAGCGTTCCCAGAGCAATCCAGACACCGGCAAAAGGTGAGCAGATGTGTGCAAGTCCTCGGCCTTTGAAGTGAGATAGACACGCCCATTGTGGGCGAAGCAGGTGTCGAGGTGGGAGGGGCAAAGTCAAAAATTCACGAGTTGCTTGCAGAGCAGCATATGCACCGGGGACATGTGGACTGAAAGTCACAAGGGGTTAGTGGATGAAATGGGGCAGACATCCTCAAAATGGCGGGACGTACTGGCGGGGCGTGCTTGCTACGAGATTTCATATTTCGGACCTGAGTGACTTTAGGGATTGCAAAAAGTCGTTGGAGAAAAGAAACATACAGCGAAGGTTGAGTGCGTCTGTGGTGTATAGAGACCCGTCCACAGTGGGCTGTGCGTGCCTTCAAGCAGAGCTGCCTACTTTACTGAGCTTCAGTGCACCGGCAGATCAAATGCATTATATACCAGTCGCCTGCGCTCGGCGACGCCGACGCGGCCTCGCTGTGTAGCGCCGGCTTCCGCGGCGGACGGCTTCGTCTACAGTGCAAGTTCATCAGCGGGACGGTGGGTTTTGCGATCCTAAGGCCATTGCTGGCTAGCGCACCCGATATTTTGCTGTTTGGTCGACAAGCGCAACAACCGCTGTGCCCTCATGCGTCTCTGACACGACCTGCTCTAACACACCCCGCCGCGCCTTACTCACTCTTCGTCCCTGCGCTTCTTCGCGCCGGATCAAAACTCGGCTGTACGCTGTCGATCAGCTGATTTGCGGGTGTATTCTCCAAATCCCTATTCTGGCTTAAAAAACTGCGAATTGTTATCGGACTTTTCGACTTCAATCGTTGAAGGTAAGTATCCTTACTAAAATTTTATCACAGTTTGCATGAAATTAGCTTGAAATTCCCCTAGAAAACATTTTTTTCCTTCTGATTTTCTCAATTCTCCCAAACTTTTCCTTATTTTCCCCACTTCTTTTATAGTGCCGGCTTTCGAGTAAGAGTCTTAGATGTGATCTCGTTATATGTCGAGGAAGCCATCTCTGACTCTGTTTTTGAAAACCAGAGAGTCGCTTATCGGTCGGATTTTCCCAAAATTCTTCTGAAATTGTGTGTGTACCTGCTGATTATTTTTTTGTTTCTCTTCCTTTTAGATTCTATCCTCTATCTGCGTCTTGTTCTCGGTCTGTACAACAGTGAATCCTATTTTGCTACACGTTGGAAGTGAATTACGTCGGCAAGTGTGGCGGTCTGTTTTTCCCAGGTGGTGTGGAACGCAGCATGCTTTTGTCCTGGCTTTATGGCTCAGCTCACACTCCCGTTTGTTGCTCCTTTTTGCGTTTGACTCGTGTCACTACATTTATCTTTGAAGTGTTTCTGTTACATGGCAAAGAACCACTCATTGTTTTTCAGAAACTGCACGATTTCGGTTCAATTTGCATGGATGTTCCCTTGTTGGGTAGCTGGATTGTGTGCCGTTAAACGTTGCTGTGCTTCACTGCCATCTAGTCCTTCGTTTTGTTGCGTCTTTATGTTGCTAACATGCATGCTTCTAATTCAAATGACTGCATGATGCTGTGACTGCTACTTGTGCTGTGCTCCTACTCTACAACAGTTTCAATTTATTTCGTGTAAACTTTTACAGACTTCCTTTAGAATTTCCTGAGACAACAATAAATATTACCGAACAACCAAAACTTCCTGACAATATGCATGTGTGTCAGCTGAAGTCACAATTTGATTATTGCATGGTATAGAAATCAATCAACATTTTGAACCCGTGATAATACCCATTAAGAAAGATCTGTTGACAGCAAGTAGCGCAAGAGATCGCGAAGGCTTGCTCAGAGTCCACACGTCAGCTGAGCCTTTTACGCCTACATTTTAGGCTCTCGTATTTTGACGCTATATGACACCACCTTTGAGAAAATTCTTTTTGATGACCTATGGTGACAGAACCTAAAATGAGAGATATATAGTGTATTAGTTCGCTGCGGGCTGTTGGGCGTATCAGGTGGGATGAGTTTGGAGCGAAGCCAAACCCGTACTCCAACAGTTGAACAAGTGTGGGCATGATATGGACAGTTACAGTTGTTCGTTATTACTCTTTTATGCGGACTTTTTGTCGGCATGCCCGCTTCAAAAGAAGGCTAAGAACTGCTTTGAGGGAGTGTCACACTCGCACTGCCTGCCCAACCGTCCGCAATTAACTCACTTTATGTGAATTCCGTAGACTAAGCAATACACATATTTTCACCTTGGACATGTTTATCGGAATCACTGTCATGCAGATTAACATGTCTAGATGGCGGTCAAAGCCTCCTCATACGGAAGATTGCTCTTTGTTTTTATCCAGAGGATTTTCATCCGAGCTTTCATCCAGGAGCATCTTTCATCCGAGCTGAATCCTCCTCCTCTAACGCTGCTCTGCACCATCCCTCGCAATGGCTCCTTGTTACACCCTCTAGAACGTCTAGGGCCCTAGTTCTCACCTGAACAAAGATCTGGTATCAAACGGCCACCTTTTGCAAGTGTTAAAAACGTTCCAGAAATCTCTACCGTCTCTAGTCTATCCGTGGGTCTTCCCAACTTATTCAGGCGGTGCTTTAGATAGCTCCAGCACAGTTCCACTGGGTTGAAAAAGCAGTGGAATGGAGGAAGCCTGAGTAGGCTTACCCCCATATCTTCACATATGCTCTCAGCAGCGAAACAGCGTAAAGCTGCTCTACCGCCTCGACTGGCGACGAAGTCTTCGAGCTAAAACAGCATCTAAGGTGGAGTCAAGTTTACTTTTGTATAACGTCGAACCTCCTCTACTACGGACGCTTTTTCACTATCGATCGCCACTTCGACTCCATGGAAGCTGAGGAAGCTGATGATCTCTCGCTTAGTGGAGTGTCTGGTCGGAATCTTATAAACAAACATGTCGCGTTTTTTTCTTTTATTCATTGCTTGACTAAATCTCACCTTCTCCAGTGCTCTTGTGTGATAAGGGGCGTTGTCGAGCACTAGCGTAACATTCCGTCCCGCCGCAAATTCCTTCATGAGGGGGATGGACGATTCCAACCAATTCTCGAACATTATGTGGTCCATCTCGCGGGTGGAATCGTGGTGCATAGTGCGGTGTCTATCCACGAATACATTGGTGCAGCCGGGTACGATTCCATCCTCACTCATGGCCGTCATAACAATACCGCGCCTCCCCTTGTTCTTCCCAGCAGTCTTACCGCAAGAATACCGCTGTATCTCAGCAGCGGTGGGAAAGCGCGACATGGTGTTGTCTGACCAACCTCTCCTCTTTACCATCCCGGCGAACACCCACGTCTCGTCCATGTAAACTATGCAGTCCCCTCTCCTCCTGGCTTCCTCAATTTTCCTCAAATATAGGGACCGCTTCTTGGCAAGATCCGAACGTTCGAAAATATAGCGTTGTCCCTTGAGGATCTTGTATGAAAAGCCAAGGCCTTTCACAAGCCTCCAAAGTGTCGTTGAAGAGTAAGTGAAGTCCGGATAAGCCATCATCATTTCCTGCCGCAACTCGAGGATCGTGACGTCCTTCTCGTCCTTAAGCATCCTGTGGACCAGCCGCCTGATCCGCTCGCCCCAAATTGGGCCAAGGTTATTCATCGCGGTCATAACCGCTGCTTTCCGAGAGCAACTCTTGCGAGCTGACTGCGTAATCGCAGGGCGGACCGGTGTGTTCGTAACCTTCTCGACCATTCTGTCGCTGACACCGCAAGCCGTGGCAGTTATCGCAGTAACCGAGCTGAAAACGGTACCACGTGAAGTTGGCCCAAGATGTTCTTTCAGCTTTGCGAAGAACTGCTTCACGTTAGCGATGACAGCCTTCGTTTCTGGGCTCAATACGCGGCGTTTCTCAGAGCTACTTGCTTCATTACTAACGAACATTTCAAGCGAAACAGCTTGAAATGCTGTGCAGAGGCAAGCATTACTCTGAGCACGTTGTTCAGCGACTGGTCTTGTCACCTCAAGCTCCTGAAAGAATCTATCCAACCTCAGTGAAAGCGATAGCGTACCAATTACGCTTCGAAATCTACTGACCGTAACGTTTGTACGGCGTACTTCTTCACTCGGTTGCTTGAGCAGAAGAGATCGAGCGATAGAGGACTGGAGTGACTCTTATTTTTAAGGAGTGCCACGATTTTCGAAGCAAGAACTGAACTTACGAAGTCACGTGATCCGCTCATGATGCAGAAAAAGAGGCTCGGCTAAAATGAAAGCGTTCCAATATTTTAGGATGCAAAAAGCAATGCAACTTAGAGATTTGATACCATGCAATAATCAAATTGTGACTTCAGCTGACACACATGCATATTGTCAGGAAGTTTTGGTTGTTCGGTAATATTTATTTGTTGTCTCAGGAAATTCTAAAGGAATTCTGTAAAAGTTTACACGAAATAAATTGAAACTGTTGCAGAGTAGGAGCACAGCACAAGTAGCAGTCACAGCATCATGCAGTCATTTGAATTAGAAGCATGCATGTTAGTAACATAAAGACGCAACAAAACGAAGGACTAGATGGTGGTGAAGCAATTGTGAAGCACAGCAACGTTTAACGGCACACAATCCAGCTACCCAACAAGGGAACATCCATGCAAATTGAACCGAAATCGTGCAGTTTCTGAAAAAACAATGCACTGGGATCTTAGAGACTGCTACAAAGCAACTAAAGCAAAGGCAGGGTAATATAAAATTGACTGCACTACCTCAGACAGTGACTATGGAAGTGAAGCGTCATCCGGTGTGAGGAAAAGCAGCCGCGCATCCTTGAAAACAGACAAGTGCATCCACAGAATATAATAAATTGTCGTTAGCAATAGTCTGTATGTAAATGTTGGAAAAAATTGCAAAAAAAAACTAAAAGCTCGAAGCTACTCACCACAAAATCGGCCACAGTGATTGCAGCAACGTAGTAAAACTGTCCATACAGGCGATCTCGAGCTTCAAAACAGTATCAAAGAGTGTTCTTGGCATGTAACGGAACACTTCAAAGATAATGTAGTGAGCACCGAGTCAATCAAAAAAGGTAGGAACAAACGGGAGTTGGGGTGAGCCATAAAGCAGGACAAAGCATGCCGGTTTCACACCACCGTGGAAAAACAGCCGCACAATTGCGACATAATTCACTCCAACGTTAGCAAAAAAAGCGGTTCACTATTAGAAGACGAGAACAAGACGCAGATACGAGGATAGAATCCAAAAGGAAGAGAAACAAAAAATAGTCAGCAGAGACTCACAAAATTTCAGGAGATTTGGGAAAAGGGACCATTAAGGCGACTCCGAGCTTCAAAACAGAGTCAGAGATGGTTCTCGATAATAACGAGATCACATCTAAGACTCTACTTCGAAAACCCGGTCAATAACATAAAAGAAGTGGGGAAAATAAGGAAAAGTTTGGGAGAATTGAGAAAATCAGAAGGAAAAAAATGTTTTCTAGGGGAATTTCAAGCTAATTTCATGCAAACTGTGATAAAATTTTAGTAAGAATACTTACCTTCAACGATTGAAGTCGAAAGTCGAAAAATCGCAGTTTTTTCAAGCAGAATACGGCAGGGATTTGGAGAAAATGCGGCGCGAATCAGCTGATCGACAGCGTCAGCCAGTATTGATCGGCGAGAGCGCAGGACGGAAGAGTGAGTAGAGGGCGCGGCGGGGTGTGTTAGAGCGCAGAGTCTGTGTCAGAGACGCAGGGGCAAGGTTATTGCGGCTTTCGACCAACAGGCAAATATCGGGCCGCTAGCCAGCGTGGCCTTAGGACCGCCCCACCGTCCGCTGAGAACTGCACTGTAGAACAGTGGCAAAAGAAAACTTGAAGCAAATGAAAAGCACGTGTTATTCAACAGTTTTTTTTTTCAGAAACTGTTTTAGCAGAGCTTGAAAGAGCTATTAATTGGAAATAGCTGATGGAAACAGTTGTTTCGATAGAGTGGCGAAGAGTATAGTAATA